ATAGCTCCTCGATTGTCATGTTCTCCTAATACTTCTACAAAAATTTCGAATTTTTCACCTTCAGTGAAAATTTCAGTGAATAGCTCCTCGATTGTTATGTTCTCCTAATACTTCTACAAAAATTTCGAATTTTTCACTTGCAGTGAAAATTTCAGTGAAGAGCTCCTCGATTGTCATGTTTCCCTGATACTTTTACAAAAATTTCGAATTTTTCACTTTCAGTGAAAATTTCAGTGAATAGCTCCTCGATGTTCATGTTACCCTGATACTTTTTCAAAAATTTCGAATTTTTCAATTGCAGTGAATACCTACCGAAAGAAAAAATTGTAATTATTTAAAAAAAAAAATGAATGACGGCAGGATCGAACCCTGGCCGTCTGTGTGGTAGGCAAGCACGTTACCACTAGGATAACGCATTATTACAATATTTTAATTTCATTAGGGGTATATATTTTGAAAAGGAATTTTTAAAAAAAATTTCAAAATTGTTAATTTCACTGAATATCTTCTCGATTTTCAAAAATTTAGTTTTTAAACAATCTTTCGATTGATTAGCCAATTAAAAAAAGATAAAATTATCATTATTTTGAAAAAAAAAAATGAATGGTGCTAGGAGCGAACCCTAGCCGCCCGCGTGGCAGGCGAGCACGCTGCCAACTCGACAACGCGCTCAATTTGAAATTATAATTTCATTAGTAGTATATATTCAATACATTGAAAAATTTTTTTCATTTAAAATTCCACAAAATGTGGTTTCCCCCTTCCGCTCGTTCTATAGTCGGCTAAATTTCAGTTAAACAAATAAAAAACAAAAAGCATTCATAGCGCAGAAAATAAAATTCACCCCGTCGACTTGATGGACACCCCAGCATTGCGTGTTGCACCCTCCCTCTCTTGGGGTGCAGTACTACGATGCCGCTGGAGTCCCTCCAACCCCCAGAACTGAGCTTTTACTTTACTCCATCCCCTCTGGGCTTGAGGCTAGTTTTTAAAACGATCCTCAGCCCCTTGTGTCAGTTTTCCCTACCCCCCAGAGATGTCTCCCCAGGTTCAAAACAAAAGTGAAAAGAAAAAAAAATCACGGGGTTGCACTCACCCCGTGCTAAAATCAATAGACACTATTTTCAAGAGATTTCGAATATTGACCTTTTATTTATGTTTTTTAAAATGTTTCTGAAGTATTTGCAGGAAATTTGATAATTTTAATTCAACAAGCGGAAGTTGCGCGTGCAGCAAACGCAGCCCTAAGATGGCGGCTTCCGTCAGTCGCAGCTAGTGCACTCTGTGAGACCGTAGTGAACGGTGAGACATTGTAATACGTTGAAGCCTTGATTTTCCAGGCCGCTTACTGCACTCGAAATAGGTGAGTAAAACAATCCGATAACTATAATAACCCTCGTAATAATCACCGACAACCCCAGTGAGCGTTATGACGAATTAGATGAATACCAGGAGTGCGTATTGAACGTCGAACTGTTCGTTGGAAAAACGGATATCGTGTGGACCCCGTAGCCATTGAAAAATCATCCTGCCCCCCTTGAGTTTCATTATTTTATCATTGAGGTATCGAGTGGGGAATTGATGGGGAGTTTTCCCCCTGGGTTGTCGGCCCTCGGAGGGATTTTAAATTCAGTAAATCCGGGTGATCAGGGGGTGGGGGACGGGGTGGTGAAGAAAAATCATATCATATTTTTCGACCAGGTCATGCGATCCCAATGCGGCTCCGTCGTGCGGTAATGACGCACGCCACGCGCAAAGACCTCTCTTTTTTTTTCTCTATTTCATTTTTTAATTCTGTCTTTCTCTTCAGGGTGGCCATCTTTGAGTCACGACCGGTGAATTGCTCCGAGAATTTTGCGTTTATCATTTTTCAACTGGGTACTTGAGAACTGGCAAAATAAGAGTTTTTGATTTTTCCTTTTTCTGGAATATTTTTGGATTTTTGGTCATGGGATTTCCATTTTATGAGGATTTTTTCTATTTTTTTAGGGTCTCGTGGAGAAAAGAGATTTTTCCCGGAGGGCGTGGGATGAATTGTTAATTTTCCTTGAGTTGGTAGCAATTTTTAGTTTAGTTACATTCTCGAATGACGTAGTTGGAGAGGACAGGGGAGTGTCACGTCGCCATGTTGCTTTTGACCTGCCGGTTAGACTTGATTTTTCCTCGATTATTTATTTTTCCCTGAATTGAATTTTCCGTTGTTGATATGTTAACGAGGAATTCGAAGAGGGGGAATTTTAGTGAGGATTAGGAGGGCACGGTGTCGGGGAGTGAATGGCCAGTCGTGGTTTAGGTGTCAATGAAGTTCACTAGGTACTGCGTAATTCCGTAGGCTGAATGGAACTCATATCCTAATATGGATTGGTACATTAGTCCAATGCCAATGTCGTATTTTGGAATTTTAATGAATGGGATTGAGTTTCCTGGAGAATTCTTTCGGCCGATATTTTAAAATAGAGACTATTGATTTATCCTGAGGGCCTCTGGTACTCAAGGCTAATTTTTTATTCTGGAATTCGATCAAAGAGTTCAATTAAATATTTCCAGAAACAATTGGAATCGAGTGCAATGCGGACATTCCTCATCAAAAAAATTCCACACTATCATCACGAAGTGATTTCTCTTTTTCAGAAACATTCCCCACGTGCAATTGAGTTATTTAATTAATTCCTTTGGAGTTTATTTCAATTTATGTTTTAGACTGTAAAATTTGTATTTCCGGTGGTACTGAACACGAGTGGATTCTTTAGCCGAAGGGCCACGGGTTCTTTGACAAGTCAAGCGTCGATGATCGATACTGTTTTTGGTCCACAAAATACTTCCACTCCCCCTAGACTTCTCTTCATCATCAACCCCGGCTGTCCCGGTTCTCCAATATTTACGATAATGACCGAGAACTAGCTCAGCACCAGGTGAATAATTCATCCGCTCTGTAGCAGACTGTTACCTAGAAAGTTTTTCAACTTTTTTTTGTGGGTGGAATGACGACGTGATACCATTCTCTCAGAATTCCTACCTCTTCAATGATGTGGACTCACTCGAGCGAGAGCTCAATGACTTCCATGTGGATGTCTTTCGACTTTATAATCCAGCATTCTTCAAATCCCACGCTAATTACACAGCGAATAATTTTGTTTTCACTCAAAAATCACTGCCTCTCAACCGGAGTCTGGTTTAATTGCATTAGAAATCATTAAATGAAGGGCTTAATTAATCTAGGGAATCGATTATCACGGTCGGTTGTTTAAATAATTTATAAAACCGTCCAAATATTTTTTTAATGAAGGGCATACCGCAGGATCAATTAGCAGACAGGTCTCGATCAATTCTGAATGAACTAAAAATAAATTCCCCTCGAATAATTGATTCCAAAATGACTCATGGTCATAAATCAATCCTCCCCTCACCCCGAAAATTGCAGCAATCAAATTTTCCCGGGAACTTTCACAACCTAGAAAAATATATCCGGTATTCGTGTCACTGGACGTGCAAAATAATTCTTTCAATCTGATGTGAAAGAGAAAAGAAATTGATATGAAATTTATTTAAATTCATAATTAAATCTATTTTTCTGGGTTTTTAATTGGATGATAATTTTCCCGAGGGATTTCACCAGAAAATTGATTAAAATTTTCAGTTGCAACGGAAGATTTGGACTCCGAGGGTTTGGAAAAAAAATCTAAAAGTTTGGTCTTGGGTTTAGTGATACGGATGGGATCGATATACCTAGGAAACGATGAGCCTCTTGTTCCACCTACACCTTCCGCGTCTTTTCTTCCGATCCATCGAGTAAACGACCTCGACCAGTTTTCCCGGACATCGTCCTTGGCCTGTCTCCACCCTCTACCCTGTTCACTCTTAATGCCAGTCATTTCGATTCTCTCCCTCTATCCCGAGAGTGTTTTTCCCCTCATCCTTTGAATTCACCAGCTCAATTATTGCGATAA